TTGTTTCTGGTCACTATGTACATCATGATTCTAGAAGTAGTGGATATCCGCTCACACCTAGTTTTTATTAGTAGATAAGAAGAGATAAACAAGCTTTCCTGCTGTTTCAACTCTCAGTTGGTTTCATAACTTTGAATGAACTAGTTATTGAACTGAACTAGTTGAATAAACTGAAATGAAGAATATACTCTCTGCACCTGCGGAAGAGGTTACTGCTGTCAAAAGCTGATTTTACACTTCAACAAACTCTAGTGCCAGGTGGATATACAGTGATTTTTTTACCAGTTTTTTACCAGCTTTCTTTAAAACTTCAGCAGCAAACATGTACTGCTTAATTTTATTTTTTTGTTTCTAATTTAAATGATTTAACAACCTATATAAAGGCCTAATATTACTATAATCTATCAAAATTTCAAATAGGTGATTTTTAAAACAAAATGATTTGATTTAAATAAAAATCCAATGTAAATTGATTTTTATCCAACCTGTGAAGAAGCTTAGGGTATGTCTACACTACGGAATAAGGTCGAATTTATAGAAGTCGTTTTTTTAGAAATCGGTTTTATATATTCTCGTGTGTGTGTCCCCACAGAAAATGCTCTAAGTGCATTAACTCGGCGGAGTGCTTCCACAGTACCGAGGCTAGAGTCGACTTCCGGAGCATTGCACTGTGGATAGCTATCCCGCAGTTCCCGCAGTCTCCTCTGCCCATTGGAATTCTGGGTTGAGATCCCAATGCCTGATGGGGCTAAAACATTGTCGCTGGTGGTTCTGGGTACATATCGTCAGGCCCCCGTTCCCTCCCTTCCTCCGTGAAAGCAAGGGCAGACAATCGTTTCACACCTTTTTTCCTGAGTTACCTGTGCAGACGCCATACCACGGCAAGCATGGAGCCCGCTCAGGTAACCGTCAGCGTATGTCTCCTGGGTGCTGGCAGACGCGGTACGGCATTGCTACACAGTAGCAGCAATCCATTGCCTTCTGGCAGCAGACGGTGCAGTACGACTGGTAGCCGTCCTCGTCGTGTCCGAGGTGCTCCTGGCCACGTCTGCTGGGAGCGCCTGGGCAGACATGGGCGCAGGGACTAAATTTGGAGTGACTTGACCAGGTCATTCTCTTTAGTCCTGCAGTCAGTCCTATTGAACCGTCTTATGGTGAGCAGACAGGCGATACGGATTGCTAGCAGTCGTACTGTACCATCTTCTGCCGGGCAGGCAAGAGATGAGGATGGCTAGCAGTCGTACTGTACCCATCTTCTGCCGGGCAGGCAAGAGATGAGGATGGCTAGCAGTCGTACTGTACCATCTTCTGCCGAGCAGCCATGAGATGTGGATGGCATGCAGTCCTTCTGCACTGTCTGCTGCCAGCCAAAGATGTAAAAGATAGATGGAGTGGATCAAAACAAGAAATAGACCAGATTTGTTTTGTACTCATTTGCCTCCTCCCCTGTCTAGGGGACTCATTCCTCTAGGTCACACTGCAGTCACTCACAGAGAAGGTGCAGCGAGGTAAATCTAGCCATGTATCAATCAGAGGCCAGGCTAACCTCCTTGTTCCAATAAGAACAATAACTTAGGTGCACCATTTCTTATTGGAACCCTCTGTGAAGTCCTGCCTGAAATACTCCTTGATGTAAAGCCACCCCCTTTGTTGATTTTAGCTCCCTGAAACCAACCCTGTAAGCCGTGTCGTCAGTCGCCCCTCCCTCCGTCAGAGCAACGGCAGACAATCGTTCCGCGCCTTTTTTCTGTGCGGACGCCATACCAAGGCAAGCATGGAGGCCTCTCAGCTCACTTTGGCAATTAGGAGCACATTAAACACCACACACATTATCCAGCAATATATGCAGCACCAGAACCTGGCAAAGCGATACTGGGCGAGGAGGCGACGTCAGCGCAGTCACGTGAGTGATCAGGACATGGACACAGATTTCTCTGAAAGCATGGGTTCTGCCAATGCATGCATCATGGTGCTAATGGGGCAGGTACATGCTGTGCAACGCCAATTCTGGGCTCGGGAAACAAGCACAGACTGGTGGGACCGCATAGTGTTGCAGGTCTGGGACGATTCCCAGTGGCTGCGAAACTTTCGCATGCGTAAGGGCACTTTCATGGAACTTTGTGACTTGCTTTCCCCTGCCCTGAGGCGCACGAATACCAAGATGAGAGCAGCCCTCACAGTTGAGAAGCGAGTGGCGATAGCCCTGTGGAAGCTTGCAACGCCAGACAGCTACCGGTCAGTTGGGAATCAATTTGGAGTGGGCAAATCTACTGTGGGGGCTGCTGTGATGCAAGTAGCCCACGCAATCAAAGATCTGCTGATATCAAGGGTAGTGACCCTGGGAAATGTGCAGGTCATAGTGGATGGCTTTGCTGCAATGGGATTCCTTAACAGTGGTGGGGCCATAGACGGAACCCATATCCCTATCTTGGCACCGGAGCACCAAGCCGCCAAGTACATAAACCGCAAGGGGTACTTTTCAATAGTGCTGCAAGCTCTGGTGGATCACAAGGGACGTTTCACCAACATCAACGTGGGATGGCCAGGAAAGGTACATGACGCTCGCATCTTCAGGAACTCTGGTCTGTTTCAAAAGCTGCAGGAAGGGACTTTATTCCCAGACCAGAAAATAACTGTTGGGGATGTTGAAATGCCTATATGTATCCTTGGGGACCCAGCCTACCCCTTAATGCCATGGCTCATGAAGCCGTACACAGGCAGCCTGGACAGTAGTCAGGAGCTGTTCAACTACAGGCTGAGCAAGTGCAGAATGGTGGTAGAATGTGCATTTGGACGTTTAAAGGCGCGCTGGCGCAGTTTACTGACTCGCTTAGACCTCAGCGAAACCAATATTCCCACTGTTATTACTGCTTGCTGTGTGCTCCACAATATCTGTGAGAGTAAGGGGGAGACGTTTATGGCGGGGTGGGAGGTTGAGGCAAATCGCCTGGCTGCTGGTTACGCGCAGCCAGACACCAGGGCGGTTAGAAGAGCACAGGAGGGCGCGGTACGCATCAGAGAAGCTTTGAAAACCAGTTTCATGACTGGCCAGGCTACGGTGTGAAAGTTCTGTTTGTTTCTCCTTGATGAAACCCCCCCTCCTTTGGTTCACTCTACTTCCCTGTAAGCTAACCACCCTCCCATCCTCCCTTCGATCACCGCTTGCAGAGGCAATAAAGTCATTGTTGCTTCACATTCATGCATTCTTTATTCATTCATCACACAAATGGGATGACTACCAAGGTATCCCAGGAGGGGTGGTGGAGGAGGGAAGGAAAATGCCACAGAGCACTTTAAGCACAGCACTTTAAAAGTTTACAACTTTAAAATTTATTGAATGCCAGCCTTCTTTTTTTTGGGCAATCCTCTGTGGCGGAGTGGCTGTTTGGCCGGAGGCCCCCCACCGCGTTCTTGGGCATCTGGGTGTGGAGGCTGTGGAACTTGGGGAGGAGGGCGGTTGGTTACACAGGGGCTGTAGTGGCAGTCTGTGCTCCAGCTGCCTTTGCTGCAGCTCAACCATACACTGGAGCATACTGGTTTGGTCCTCCAGCAGCCTCAGCATTGAATCCTGCCTCCTCTCATCACGCTGCCGCCACATTTGAGCTTCAGCCCTCTCTTCAGCCCGCCACCTCTCCTCCCGGTCATTTTGTGCTTTCCTGCACTCTGACATTATTTGCCTCCACGCGTTCGTCTGTGCTCTGTCAGTGTGGGAGGACAGCATGAGCTCGGAGAACATTTCATCTCGAGTGCATTTTTTTTCTTTCTAAGCTTCACTGGCCTCTGGGAAGGAGAAGATCCTGTGATCATTGAAACACATGCAGCTGGTAGAGAAAAAAAAAGGGACAGCGGTATTTAAAAAGACACATTTTATAAAACAGTGGCTACACTCTTTTTCAGGGTAAACCTTGCTGTTAACATTACATACATAGCACATGTGCTTTCGTTACAAGGTCGCATTTTGCCTCCCCCCACCGCGTGGCTACCCCCTCAACCTTCCCCCCTCCCTGTGGCTAACAGCGGGGAACATTTCTGTTTAGCCACAGGCAAACAGCCCAGCAGGAATGGGCTCCTCTGAGTGTCCCCTGAAGAAAAGCACTCTATTTCAACCAGGTGACCATGAATTATATCTCACTCTCCTGAGGGTAACACAGAGAGATAAAGAACGGATGTTGTTTGAACGCCAGCAAACATATACTGCAATGCTTTGTTGTACAATGATTCCCGAGTAAGTGTTACTGGCCTGGAGTGGTAAAGTGTCCTACCATGAAGGACGCAATAAGGCTGCCCTCCCCAGAAACCTTTTGCAAAGGCTTTGGGAGTACATCCAGGAGAACCGCGAATGCCAGAGCAAAGTAATCCTTTCACATGCTTGCTTTTAAACCATGTATAGTATTTTAAAAGCTACACTCACCGGAGGTGCCTTCTCCGCCTGCTGGGTCCAGGAGGCAGCCTTGGGTGGGTTCGGGGGGTACTGGCTCCAGGTCCAGGATGAGAAACAGTTCCTGGCTGTCGGGAAAACCGGTTTCTCCGCTTGCTTGCTGTGAGCTATCTACAACCTCCTCCTCCTCATCATCTTCTTCGTCCCCAAAACCTGCTTCCGTATTGCCTCCATCTCCATTGAAGGAGTCAAACAACACGGCTGGGGTAGTGGTGGCTGAAGCCCCTAAAATGGCATGCAGCTCATCATAGAAGCGGCATGTTTGGGGCTCTGACCCGGAGCGGCCGTTCGCCTCTCTGGTTTTCTGGTAGGCTTGCCTCAGCTCCTTCAGTTTCACGCGGCACTGCTTCGGGTCCCTGTTATGGCCTCTGTCCTTCATGCCCTGGGAGATTTTGACAAAGGTTTTGGCATTTCGAAAACTGGAACGGAGTTCTGATAGCACGGATTCCTCTCCCCAGACAGTCATCAGATCCCGTACCTCCCGTTCGGTCCATGCTGGAGCTCTTTTGCGATTCTGTGACTCCATCATGGTCCCCTCTGCTGATGAGCTCTGCATGGTCACCTGCAGCTTGCCACGCTGGCCAAACAGGAAATGAGATTCAAAAGTTCGCGGTTCTTTTCCTGTCTACCTGGCCAGTGCATCTGAGTTGAGAGTGCTGTCCAGAGCGGTCACAATGGAGCACTCTGGGATAGCTCCCGGAGGCGAATACCGTCGAATTGTGTCCACGGTACCCCAAATTCGAGTTGGCAAGGCCGACTTAAGCGCTAATCCACTTGTCAGGGGTGGAGTAAGGAAATCGATTTTAAGAGCCCTTTAAGTCGAAATAAAGGGCTTCATCGTGTGGACGGGTGCAGGTTTACATCGATTTAATGCTGCTAAATTCTACCTAGAGTCCTAGTGTAGACCAGGGCTTAGTAACTTGCTTAATGTCACTGAGAAAATCTGTATCAGAGCCAGGTTTAGAACTCTAGTTCTTGTCTCTCTGGCTTATGCTTTGAACACACCTCTTGTTCTCATCTGCCTCCTTTAGACAATATAAACTTAACACACAATGAGCTTGGAGGTAACTGTGAGTAGTCCTTCTGCTAACCCTGTCAATGATAATAGGGTTGCACAGATGTTGGAGAACAGAAGCTGGGAGTGGGCAACAGGGGATGGATCACTTCATGATTACCTGTTTTGCTCATTCCTTCTACAGCACCTGGCATTGGCCACTCTTGGAAGACAGGATACTGGGCTAGATGGACCTTTGGTCTGACCCAGTATGGCTGTTCTTATGTTCTTAACAGAATAATATGTCCTGCAGAATCTTTTTTTTTTTTTTGAACTGGTGATAAGTCAGATGGAAAAAACCGAAGTTGAGTTGATAGTTAGAAGGGGGGAAAAATACCTTTTCACTTGTAAACTAAGAATGTTTGATACTGAAATAATTGGACATTAATATGGAACTCCAATATGTGACTTTTAGTCATTTCTTAGAGCAGAGCTGTGCTTAACAGTGTAGATGGTCTGTACACTTATTTGGCTTTCACACCGCAAGAAGCGTGATTAGTGTCTTTACTTTGTATAGTCAGTACTGAGCTTGAAAATGAACTGATTTTTTTCTTGATGCATCTAAAGACCTACTGATAACTCTTTTAGGTACACAAAACTTGGTTATGCAGGAAATACGGAACCACAGTTCATTATTCCATCATGTAAGTAACTTTTTTCTCAGCTTCTGATGTACAAAGTTATTTCATTGACTAAGTGATAGAGCTCTAGTCCTATCTCTGTTGTTTTTCTGCCAGGACTCTGGCTTAGACAGAATACAAGGTACTTCCTCTCTACCTGACTCTGTGGTTACAGCTTGGGTAGTATGTGGGAGGCCTTTTGTCAATTTAAGTACTGAAATGCAGGTACCACCTGGCAGCAATGTGTATCCATCTTTATGCTGACTGGGACTCTAGACAGAGTGAAAAAACCCAAATATTAAATAACAGTATCCCTGGTTGGGAGTCTTATACAGTATACTCCTATATATCTGAACTTCTGCTTTGTCAGAATCCCTTCCTTGTCTCCAGCATGAGATACATGCTGCAGGGGGCACAGAATTCATGTATCTCATGCTGGGGGACAAGGAAGGGATTCAAATAATGTGGCGGTTCGGATAATAGAGCAGAGTTCCCAGCCAGATTGTGAGGAGGAGGAAGAGCAGGACAAACCCCTGGCTGCTGGGGAGGCCACCCTGCTGCTGAATGGCCTGGGAGTCAGTGAGCAGGGTCGTGACAGCTGAGCTGCAGAGGGCTGGCTCCCTGTGCTGCTGCAGGCTGGTGATACCCAACCCTGGCCACGTGCAAGATGTAGTGAGGGAAGCTGTAGTCCTAGTAGGGCAGAGCAGAGATCCCTAACCAAGATACTGCTTTGCCCTGCCAGGACTGCAGCCTTCCCTGCACCTGCAGGGATTGTGTATCACTGGCTCTGCAGCAGCGCAGGGAGCCCTCTGCAGTCCCACTGTCATGGCAGTGGGACCATGACAGTGGACCTGCAGAGGGCTTCCTGCGCTGCTGCAAGGCTGATGACAACTAACCCCTGGCCAGCACTGCGAGGAAAAAGAAGAGCTCCTGGCTGCGGGGGAGGCCACCCTGCTGCTGAATGGTTCCTGCCCTTTCAATTATGTGAATAAAATCCATAACCCCCACGGTATTCAGATAAAAGAAGGTTACTTACCTGTAACTGGAGGTTCTTCGAGATGTGTGGTCCCTCTCTGTATTCCACTCAGAATTATACACATGCTTCTGGAGCCGGAGCTTTTCAAAGTAATATTGCACAGTGGTCAGAGCATGCGCCCTTGTATTGCCTCATGTTTTCACCCACGGTGGTAAACGGTGGGGCGGACTGGCCACATCTCCAGTTCATTCTCCACCTACAGAGCTGTGGCAGAGGGGAAAGCAGTACCTAGATAGGAGGAGGGTGTGAGGAAGATGGCGGAACCGTAGAACAGAGGACCGCTGCACCGAATGAGGATAATGAGAGGAAAAGGTGTGTACTGAACTCCACGTGGCCGCCTTACATGTATCCGCAAGGGGTTTGTCGTGGAGTGCGGCTGTGTTCGATGCTTGTACTCTCATGGAATGGGCTCATATCCCATCTGGTGGGGAGAGCCTTGACAAGTGTTAGCAGCCGTAATGCACTCTGAGACCCACTTAGAGATTCTCTGGGTGGAAATGGCCTAAACTTTAATTCTCTCCGCTATGATGATAAATAGTCTGGGAGACTTCCAGAATGGCTTTGTCCCGGAGCCCTATGCACATTGAGGGAATGAAGCCACCGTTCCGCATTCAAAGCATGTGCTTTTGGAAAGAAGGTAGGGAGATGTTTGGGTTGGTTGAGGTGGAATTGGGAAACCATCTTTGGCAGAAACTTGGGAAGCAGTTGTATTGAGACCTTGTCCTTATGGAACGCGGTAAAAGGGGGTTTTGCCATCATGGCTCCCAGCTCACCAACCTTCCTCACTGAGGTAATGGTAGCAAGGACAGCGACCTTCATGGAGGGGGGGGGGGGGAGCAGGAGGCCAGCGTTTCAAAGGGAGAGCTCATTAAAGAGGTAAGGACTAAGTCCCATTGGGGAGCAATGGGCTGAATGAGCGGATATTTACATAAAAGGTCCTTCCAGAATTGGGTGGTCAAGGGGTAGATAAAAATGGAATGCCCTTCCACTAGAGGATGGAAAGTGCTAATGGCGGCTGTATGTACTCTGATAGAGCTGAGAGCCAGTCCCTAGGTTTTTAGGTGGGGGAAATAGTCGAAGAGCATGGGGATACCCACAGCTTCGGTGGCAAGACCTTTTGGGCCCAGGACTCATACCCTTTAAGGTCAGAAGAGACCATCAAGTCTGACCTCCTGCACATTGCAGGCCACAGAACCTCACCCACCCACTCCTGAAATAGACCCCTAAGCTCTTGTTGAGTTACTGAAGTCCTCAAATCATGGTTTAAACACTTTAAATGATAGAGAATTCACCATTTACCCTAGTTTAAATCTGCAAGTGACCCAGACCCAATGCCGCAGAGGAAGGCGAAACCTTTCCCCCCCACCTGCCCAAAGGTCTCTGCCAATGTGCCCTGGAGGTGAAGCATGTCCATTTGCCTGATAGGATCGCCTTGTGGAGTCCTTTCGGCTACTGGAGAGTATGTCTTGCACTGCCAATGAGCATTCTCATACTAATGGAGGTGTCCATCCAAAACCCATGCTGTCAGTTGTAGTGTCCATGGGTCTGGATGCCTGCGTCTGCCATTGTTTTGTGTCCGAAGTTCCAGAAATGTCTGTAGCGAGAGTGGAGGTTGTTTCAACATACAGAGAAGAAGAGGGAGCCATAATTGGCGAGGCCAGAATGGAGCAATCAGATGGCTGTCGCTTTCTCCTGCCAGAGTTTGTGGAGGAAGCGGGGTAGGAGTGTGTGTGTGTGTGTGTAGGGGGGGAGGCGTAGGTCATATGATCTGACCAATCAATGACAAGAGCATTGCCAGTGAGTGGGCACAGAGTCCTCCCCTGGAGCAATATTGGGTACATTTGGTGTTGGTGTGAGATGCAAAGAGGTCTCTGATTGGTGTACTCCAGTGACCAAAGATGTCCACGATTATTGTGTCGTGCAATTCCCATTTGTGGTCAGTTGCAAAGTTCCCGCTGAGAAAATCTGCAATCACATTCTAGGTGCCAGGCAGGTAGGCTGCTGACAAAAGTATATGAGGTTTGATGCATCATTCCCGGGGCGAATCGCTTCCATACACAGTGCTGGGGACCTCGTGCCCCCTTGTTTATGTAGTATACTGTGGTGGTGTTGTCTGACATGATTAGGACGTGGCGATAGCCGATAGCTGGTAAGAACAAGTGGCATTCTTTGTGTACTGACCAAAGTTTGAGAATGTTATGTGCATCCTGGCCTCTCACATGGTCCAGGTGTCTTGTGTAATGTGATCTCCAGTGTGAGTACCTGGGTGTGACGCACCGTTATGACTGTCACGGTTGGTGAGGAAGGGCATCCTGGAGCAGATTGTATCGGGTCTGTCCACCATTGAAGAGAAGAGATGACTTCTGGTGGAAAGTTGAGCATGATGCATAAGGGAATAGACTCTTTGCAGCCATAGCTGTAGACAGCAAAGGTGCAGGTGCGTGAATTATGATATATATTTACACGCTTCCATGTGCCCTAGGATGGGCTGTCCTGGCTGAGACAGAAGTGTTGGAGTTTATCCCTGCTATTTGGTCCAGTAGGCTCTGGAATCTGTCTTGTGGCAGATATACTCAGGCAGAGGTTGAATTGATGCGAGCTCCTATGAATTCCAGGGGCCAAGTATGGTGCAAAGTTGATTTTTTGATGATGTTGCTCACTTCTAGGGAGGAGAAGAGTAGAAGAAGCTAGGATGTCGATGCTCGAGCTTCCTCTCTGCATCACGCTGCCAGCAGCCAGTCATCTAGGTATGGGAAGACAAGGATTCCCTGATGTTGTTGGTGAACCGCTATCACAGAGAAAACCTTTGTAAAAACTCGTGGGGAGGTGGTAAGTCCAAATCAGAGAACCCTGTATTGGAAGTATCGATGCCCAACCTCAGGAGCCTTCTATGTGTTGGA